CCCTAACCCTAACCCTCTAACCCTAACCCTAACCCTTAAAATCATCATATATAAAAGCAATACACTAACAACATAAAACACACAATGGCCACACATTAAAAGCAGTTTAGAAAAGGTGGGTTTTGAACATGGAGGTCAGTGCAGTCTCGGATGTGTTCCAGAGGGAGGGGGCAGATATGGAGAAGGCTCTGTCACTCCATGTCCGGTGCTTGGTCCTGAGTGAAAGGGACAAGAGGTTGGCATCAGAGGAGTCGACGGGATGGAGTGTGGTGGTGAAGCAGGTCGGTGAGGTAGGAGGGGGCCTGATTATGGAGGGCTTTGTGAGAGAGGAGAAGGACTTTGTATTCGATCCGTTGTGGGACAAGGAGCCAGTGGAGGTTCTGTATATATAACATATATACATAACGTATAAACTAGTGCTGGGCAACGATTAAAATATTTAATCACGATTAATCGCATGGATTTTTTGCGATTAATCACATTGTTATGGCAAAGTTTAATAATGAATTCAAAAGTAGTATATTGCGCACTTTTATTTCAAAAGTACTGCTATATGAACGAAAGGGCAATAACATTTGGTTCACGAGATGCAGGTAGCATGTTTTATACTTAATGTGAATAGAATTCATACTTTGTTGGCATCTTATTCTGAAAACCGGATGTTCGTCTGAAGAAACCGGATGTTGTCTCACGTTAATCTTTCCGCTAACTTTCAAAGTCCTTCGCTCGCTCCCGATCTGTGCCGTTTAAATGCGTTTACCGTGAATTTCAGCATATAGGTGCACTAAAATTACTGACTGTAGGATGTTTGCTGGCTTTTATCCCACTGTTCTTGTCATCCTCTTGTTGTTATGTGTATGTATTCTCTTGTCTTTCAAAAAAAAATAAATAAATAAAAAAAATAAAAAAAATAAATAAATGCGTTAACGCGCGATAAAATAATTGTCGGCGTTAATTAATGAATGCGTTAACTCGTTAATTTCGCGTTAACTTGCCCAGCACTAGTATAAACATAATATATTATATACACAATGAAAGGATTCTGTATATGACAGTTACTGTTTAAAACTAAAATAATCTCATTTAATTTCGTGAATTTTTTTATTTTTTTTAAAAATTTGATTTCCTTCATGTGACATCATCACTGATCAATCAGTACTGTTGATTGATCTTGAATTATGACGACTCTGAGTCATTGTTCAGCTCAGTTTTATTAGTTTTCATTAAAAAGGAAACAGAGACAATAATGTTGGTGACCACTGAAACATACATTAAAAACAGGAAGTCAGCTTCTAAGTAACCTGAAGATAGAAAACTGAGAACACAAAAGGTTTAAAGGTCTTTAGTTCGGGTAGAAGCATCCGGCATCATCTCGCCGTCTCTTTCGACTCTGCTGCTCGAAGAACTGACGGATGTCATCAGGAGTCACAACCTATCAGAGAACAGTCACATGACATCATGAGGAGTCACAACCTATCAGAGAACAGTCACATGACATCATGAGGAGTCACAACCTATCAGAGAACAGTCACATGACCACCTCACTAGACTTTGGATGTCTGACTAGTTTCCAGGAGATTCCTTCATCTTAAACGTGGTGTCATATGAAATATAGCGAATGTGACTAATTACCTTTCACTTCTTATCGATGCAAGTTCTTAACCTAAACTTTAGGCTTCTAGAGTCCTAAACTCACCTTTCCTTCTTCTGCGAATCTCTGCAGGAAGTCCTTCAGTTCAGTTTTCATGTCATTGTACCCTGAAAGACATGTCGACAGATGGGACTTGTTTCATGAGTAGCACTGGTTGTCGTGCACGCAGCACTGGTCGTCGTGCACGCAGCACTGGTCGTCGTGCGGGTAGTACTGGTCGTCGTGCACGTACTACTGGTCGTCGTGCGGGTAGTACTGGTCGTCGTGCGGGTAGTACTGGTCGTTATGTGTAGTACAGTTATTATTTGTTTTGTTTAAAAACCTCATATTCACATAACACTGCAACATTTGACAAGTGAAATAAAATGTTACATGAAGCTCAACACCTACAAATACACTAACTGTGCAGATACATGAATACGTGCAAAACTATAAAGGATGCATGTCTGTCACTATCGTCATTAACAGGTAATGCATATAGTCAAAATCAATGTAATTAACACAATGACAAGAACAAACTCACAAGAACCAGTCACGTTTATTTAAATGACAACAAAGCAAATACAAAGCTGCTCACTATTTATAGACAAAGTCCATCCTCCTTCCTTTGTTAACAAAGAGTTCAATGACACGGTTGTACAGTTTATCGGTGCGCTTCAGTTCCAGTAAGAAGTCCTTCTCGATGGCCATGGACGCCAGTGATGAGAGTCGAGCCTCCCCAGTTGTACTTCTGGAATATGTTTCAATGCGTTTGAGGGCTGAAAATGTCCGCTCGACAGAGGCAGTCGATATCGGGATCGTCACCGCCAAACATGCCAGTGCGTAAAGTTGACGCATGCTCTCCACCAGATCATTCTGCTGAAGGAAAGCCAGTAGGTCATCAGGGCTTTTACCTTCAAAGTCAGCCATGGCGTACATGACAGTCAGTTCTGTTTTCAGCCGTGTCAGATCATCAAACAGAGATCCGTGACTCTGTGTTAGGCCGGAGAAGACCGAATCCGGGAACTTCTTCTGATATGCCCGAAACTGCTGTGGGTCGAGGAGGGAGAGAAACATTAATTTCTCGTGGTCTTTGAATCGATTTCGTATCTGGACAACAATGTTGTCCAAGATATCGCTGTGGAGTTTCTGGTACTGAAGACGAATGTCTCCCTCCGTTTGGCCTCTTTGTGCACTCGGAGCACCTGTTTCACACACAGTGGCCTCAAAGGTGTCAGCAAACCGTCCCTTTTCTCTCTCAATAGTGTCACAAAACTCATCCACTCTTTTCAGACAGAATTGTACGTCCAGTTTTCTGTTCTTTAGTACTCCAAACAGCACATCCGAATACTCAAAAATCCTGTGGAAAGTGGACAGCAAAAAACAAAACTCGAAGTTCTCCAGATGGGCTTTGTACGAGTCAGCACAGCGCACAGATTCCTCGTCGTACTCGTCATGGTGCTCCAAAACATGCTGACAAAGCTCCTGCAGGGCGGCTCTCTTTTCAAACACTGTGTTGACCAGTCTGGAGCTATAATGCCAGTGTGTTGGTGCCACACGAGGAAGACGCCGCTGGCAGATGTCCTTGAGCAACTGTGAGCACTTTGGGGACCTGGAGAAAAACACAGCGAGGCCATTGAGCTGTGAAAAAAATATTCTACATTCTCTCAGCTTTGAGACCCCTTTAGTCAGCACTGAATTCAGCCAATGGGCATAGCAGTGTATAAATAAAGCCAGAGGAGCCTTCTCTTTAACTTTAGCCTGCACTCCATTAAGTCCAGATGCGTTGACCGCTGCTCCATCAAAACACTGAGCCACGACTTTGTCCAGACAATCGTGGTCCTCCAGGAATCGGATGAGAAGAGCAGCAATGTCATCGGCTCTCTTGTTGCCGGTAACATCGTCAAATCTGACAAACCTTTCCTTGACGCCGGTATCTGTCACATAACGGACCACCAGTGCCAGCTGCGCTGTATTACCCACATCAGTGGTTTCGTCCACCATAACAGCGACAAAGGGCGCTTGATTTATCTCCCGCCTGATCTCCTCTTCCATCACTTCAGCTATAGCACTGATCAGGTCGTTCTGTATTGTGCCTGATGTCCCGGTAAATACTTCATTAGTGGAGAGGTGGTAGTGTAAGTCTGTGTCTTGCTCGGCCACAAAGGAAAGTAGCTCCACATAGTTTCCCTTATTTGTGGACTCCTTACTTTCGTCGTGTCCCCTGAATGAGAGCTCCTGTTTACCCAAAAAGATGACACAATCAATCAGTCTTTTTAGTATTTCCCTATTTTTCTTAACTTTTTCGTTGTGGAGCTCCGTTTCCTTGCGAAATTGTTCATCAAGTTGTAGATGCACTCGGGTCTCCCCAAAAGTTTTCAAGAGCACCATAGCTTGTAAGTGTCCTGCCGTGCTTTGGTGTCTTGTTGCTGCCTTGCTCAGGCAACTCAGGTTTGCAAATCCAGTGTAGCTCCAAACACCTAGACGCTCAGTTGCAAATAAAAGGCATTCCCAGCAATACAATTTACAACTGTTCTCCGACCCCGTTAGCCAGGAATACCGTTCGTAGTTGCTGGACTTAAAGTGTCGCACAAACCCTTTTCCTGGCTGGGTCAGAGCTAGCTGTGGGGTCGGCCGACCCTTTGATACGATGTCCAGCTTTTCTTCAAACGTCCTTCTCCAGAAAGGCGTTGCCAGTAAATCCGCCACAAAATCAGTTTCTCCTCCTCCTTCTGCCATTGAGTGGTAAAAACAAAACAAAGCTAGGTCAAAAAAAAAGAATCTACACCAACCAAAACGCAACAAATGTAATGTCACGTAAAAACTTCTTTAACTCTTACTACTACAAAGCGCTGCTAGCTAGTTTCACAACAGTCACACTAGCCCACTGACCAATCACACCTCACGTTAATGATGACGTATGGCTAGGCCGGCTAGCAGGCTCTGACATGTCAAAGAATACGCCCAACATGTCAAACTAAACATCTGATTGGTTGAAGACTATGACAATCAACAATATCGTCCCCATTCACTTAAACTGCAAATTAATTCACTTGTAATTCTGAAGGCCTCCGGGCAGATTTTTTTTACCTAGAGACAACACAGAGGTAAAATCTGATTGGATAAAAGCTCTACTTAAAACAAGCTCAAGCAGGGCAACTGAGGAAGACAGGAGCTGTGCAATGAGAAAATAAGATAATGGGAAAAAATATTTAGAATACATGTAGTGTATTTATGAAAAATTATTAAATTATAAAATAACTATAACTTTGTGATTCTGTCTAGGCCAGCAGAGAAGGCCCACCACTGGAAGTACTGGCAGTTGTTTATGTAGTACTGGTATTTTAGTGTATAGTACTTTTAGTGTATAGTACTGGTGGTGGCCGTGGCTAGAGAGGGGGTAGACCGGCAACCGCGAGGTCGGTGGTTCGATCCTCGGCTGCTACGAGTCCTGTGCCGAAGTGTCCCTGAGCAAGACACTGAACCCCTAACCGCTCCCTGGGTGCTTTTCAGCAGCCCACTGCTCCCAATATGCTAGGGATGTGTTAAATGCAGAGGTCAAATTTCATGTATATGTAAAAATGTATAATGACGACTCAAATAAAGTTGAAGTTTATGGTAGTTGTATACGTACTACTGGTAGTCTTGTGTGTAGTACTGGCAGTTTAATGTGTAGTACTGGTAGTTGTATACGTCGTATTGGCAGTTTAATGTATAGTACTGGTAGTTTAGTGTATAGTACTGGTAGTTTTGTGTATAGTACTGGTAGTTTAATGTATAGTACTGGTAGTTTTGTGTATAGTACTGGTAGCTGTATACGTAGTACTGGCAGTTTAAAGTATAGTACTAGTAGTTTTGTGTACCGTGGATGATCTCCAGCTGCTGAACGTGGTTCAAGTTGTCCAGCACTGACATCAGAGGGTCGTGACTTTGCTGTCTCTGCTCGTTGGTCTTTCCTTTGTTCTCGTAGGCAAGGACGGTGTCCGACTCGTCCAACAGGAAGGACAGACCGGCTTCAGACAGACACTCCTGAGTACACAAAGACTCAGACGGGTCAAATGACATCACAATGACATCATCAGTATGTGAGCCAATAGAAACCCAGACAGTCTTACCTTGCAGGTGGTACAGGAGCAGAGTTTGGAACGCCAGCCTGACGGCCAGAACACGGCTCCTGATTGGACTCTTTTCTGACCAATCGTCTGCAGCTCCATCAGTCTGCAGCTCGGCTCCACCTCCTCGCGGCTTCGCTTACAGCTGGGCTCGCTGATCTCATCACCCTGACAGATTGTTATTAAACGATCACATTGATCAGTGTTGTATGAGGGGGGGGGGCCATGTTCCCTCACAAAAAAAAACAAACTTTAAAACATCAATCTGGTGCACTTTGAGAGCACAAATTAGAGGCTGGATCTACGTCTAAAAAAGTATTTTTACTCAAGTACTAAAGTACAATTTTAAGTTTAATCCTCTCACCTTTTCTTCTTTGATAGGAAGGTTTGTGTTCGACTCGTCTGCATCTCTTTCCTCCTTCACCTGAACTGCTGCACCTGGAACTGAACGTCACACAGAAACATGAACAGAACAGACAGACGAACTAGACTATTTACCTGACAAGTGAGCTGAACCACACTGTTTACCTGATAGGTGAGCAGCGTAGGTCCAGAGGAAAGGGTTTTTGTTCATACAGAGTTCACAGATCATCTCCTGCAGCTCCACACAGTCTGGAACCACACGGCCCAGGTGCTGTCAACACACACAAGTGACTTAGATTAGTAAGAAACACCCGTTTATGAAAATATAAACTTTATGGAGAAATGTGTGGACTGAGGATGTTTGAAAGGACTCGGCTATAATATATACACACACACACACACATATACATATACATATACATACACATATACATATATATATATACACATATATATATATACATATATACATATATATATATACACATATATATATATA